GCCTCCTGCGCCTCCTGCAACTCCTGCTTAGACCCCTCAAGCAGCTCAGCCGCCTCTGAATGGATATGAGCAAGGACAGTGATGCGGCGGCCAGGATATGATGAGCAGATGGACGAGAGCTGGAGTAGCAGTTAAGGTACGAGGATTCGAGCAGCAACGAAGTGACAGCGAGCGCGATAAGGAGGCGGCGCGAAGGGATGCGGGGCTTTAGTGGAGGGTGAGGTGGAGGGACGGGGGAAGCTGCGCGGGCGCTGGGGTGATCAAGCAGCTCAGCCGCCTCTGAATGAACAGCAGCGCGAACGAACAGCAGCGCGGCGCGACGAGGAACGCGGGAACGCGAATTCGGGCACTCGAGGGTTTGAGCAGCGAGAACGCGACAAGGGAAGTGGCGAAAGGGCGGCGCCCGACTATATGGAGACGTGAGGGCAGTCAGAAACGGAGGGGCCGGGGTTTGAGACCATCACAGGCGCTTCGGGCAGCGCGCGGCGCCCAGCCAGCAGGCCCTCCGCCCGACCCCGATCGGCAGGATCGCAGCGGCCGGTGAAAGGGCGCCGGCGCGCGGCGACACGCGGCCGGGCCCGAGCGTCCCGGAGCGGCGGCATGTGCACGCGCTGCAGGGGCGGGGCCGGCAATGCGCCGCGCGGCGCCGCGGCGCGGCGCACCTGCAAGGAACGCCACTGGGGAGACGGCCTCGACTGACAGAGCGTCTGCGGCCAGGGGCCCGTCTTGCGCCAGGGCGGCCGCGGCTGTGAAGATGTCGACGGGTAGGGCGCCTGGGGGGATGGGGTGGCGCGGACGCCGAGCGGGTGACGCGTGTGGGTTTGGGGGTGCAAGGGATAGGGAATAATGAGTGGGGTCGGATGACATCGGACGAGATCAGATGTTTGATTCTCCAAAGAGGGTGGAAATGATGTGATGATGAGTAACATAGGTGAGGGTGAGGGCTTGGGACAGGTGCTGGCAGGCTCGGGGCGCCATGACCCGCGGCCTGGATCCCAAACCCAAAGCACACGCCTTCTCGGCAGCTGCCGCCCGCCCCCTCAACCCGCTGGCGCGCAGCGAGCCAGAGGGGGCTGTCGCAACGGGGGAAAATCTGCCCGCGGCCGCTCACCGCCCGTGAACGCGTCCCGCATCATCGTCGCCGCCCGCCGCCGCGCCTCGGCCGCGTCCGGGCCGCCCGCTTCCCGCCCCGCCCCCGCCGCCGCGCCCTCTCCGAGCACGGACAGCACATCGTCCAACAACCGCAGCGCCGGCGATGCGGCCGCGCGATCGCGCTCGCGGCGCAGCAGCGCGTACAGGTATCGATAGTTCGCGATCGCCTCAGGCTCCTGAACAAGGGGGTTTGGAGACAAGGGTGCATGGACGCGAGGAGGAAGAGCAGATGAGCGAGAGGAGGCGTGCGGGGGGCTGGGGCGAGAGGAGGTGCGGGGATGCAGGGGTTGGCTGGTGGGAAGGCGTGCACACTCACATGCACACACACACTCACACACACACACACACACGCAAACACGCAGGCGTACACACACACACACACACACACACACACACACAC